GAAGTGTCTGTTCATATTCTTTGTCCATTTTTCAATTGGACTGTTTGTCTTTTTGTTGCTGAGGTATTGAAGTCTTCTATAAATTTTAGAGATTAGACCCTTGTCAGATATGTCATAGCCAAAAATTTTTTCCCAGTCTATAGGTTCTCTTTTTACTCTTTTGGTAAAGTCTTATGATGAGCAAAAGTGTTTAATTTTTAGGAGGTCCCAGTTATCTAGTTTATCTTCTGCTATTTGTGCATTTTTAGTTATGTTTGGTATTCCATTTATGCAATATTTTAGGGCCCCTAGCACTGTTGTTATTTTTTCCTCCACAGTCTTTACAGTTCTAGGTTTTACATTTAGGTCTTTGATCCATTTTGAGTTAGTTTTTGTGTACGGTGTGAGGTATGGATCCTCTTTCATTTTTCTGTAGATGGATATCCAGTTCTGCCAGGACCATTTGTTAAACAGACCTTCTCTTTCCCATTTAATCGACTTCGACGCTTTGTCGAAGTTCAGCTGTCCATAGGTGGATGGTATAATTTTTTGAGGGTATCTCCTTGTATAGCTTTTTTAGTGGTTGCCTAGATATTACATAACATATACATTACTTATCACAACCTACAGGAGTCTCTATTTTACTAGTTTACAAGAAGAAACCTTAACCTCCCTCTACTGTTTATAATTGTCTGAAATATTTCCTCTATATATACTTAGAACCACATCAGAAAATGTTATAATTTTTGCTTCAACTTTCAAACAATTTAGAGAACTGAAGAAGAGAAGGGAAGCCGATTATATTTACCCAAATTTTTACTTTCCATGTTCTTTTTTCCCTCCTGATGTTCCAAGGTTCCTTCTTTTATCATTTCCTTTCTGTTTAGAGAAGCTCGTTTAGCCATTCTTTTATAGTAGGTCTTGCTAGCCATTCTTTTATAGTAGGTCTTTGTTTTCTTTCACCTAAGTGTTTTGAATTCCTCTTCATTCCTTAAGGATATTTTCTCTGGTTATAGGATTCTGGGTTGACAGTTCTTCTCTTTCAGCACTTAAAAAGTATTGTACCACTTCCTTCTAGTCTCCATGGTTTCTGATAAGAAATTCCTGTCATTCTAATTATTTTTCCCATGTAGTTAAGGTGTCATTTTTCTCTCACTGTTTTCAAGTTTTTTTCTGTGTCTTTTGTTTTCAGAAGTTTAATGATGACGTTTCTTAGCATGGATTTCTTTGAGTTTATTCTCTTTGGGGTTCACTCAGCTTTTGGGGTTTGTCTCTTGCCAAATAATGCAGCCATTATTTATTATAGTACTTTTTTAGCCCTACCCTCCTTTCTCCTCTTCTACTGGCACTATGATGACACAAATGCTACTTTATTATAGTTCCACAGGTGCCTAAGGCTCTGTTCATCATTTTTTAGTTATTTTCTCTCTGTTGTACGGATTGGGTAATTTTTACTGTCCCACCTTCCAGCTCACTGAATTCCCCCCCCCTCCTCCTTGATCCCATCTACTGAGTTTTTTTATTTCAGTTATTGTATCTTTTAGTTCTAAAATTTCTATTTGGTTCTTTATATCTTCGATTTCTTTCTGGAAAATTTCCATTTCTTTGCTGAGTCTTTTTATTTTTTCATTTGCTTCCAGTATATTCATAATTGCTCACTGAAGCATTTTTATCACAGCTTCTTTAAAATCTTTGTTCAATAATTCTAACATCTCTGTGATCCTGGTGTTCAGGTCTATTGTCTTTTTTAAATTCAATTTGAGATCTTCTGGTTCTTGGTATAACAAGTGATTTCTAACTGAAACCTGGACATTTTCATACTATGAGACTCTGGATTTTATTTAAATCTGCTGTAGCTGTCTTTTTCTGACACCACTCTGGTAGGGAAAGGAGAGAAACTGTCTCATTACTTCCAGGTGGAGACAGAAGTTTAGGTGCCCCACTTGCCCTCTGTGACACCTGAAGGGGTAGCTCCTTGTTATTGCTAAAGGGGAATAGTAGTTCTGGTTCCTCACTTGGTCTCCACTGATACCACAGAGGGGATGGCCTCAGGACTCCCAGGCAAGGGTGAAAGTAGTGACTCTCCACTACGCACCACTTCAGTGGTGAGTTAGAGGGGCACCTTGTTACTGCCAGGTGGGGATGGGAGTCAGGATCCCCACGTGGTTTCCACTGACACCACAAGGGTTAGGGTGATGCTCACTACCAGCTGGTAGGCATAAGAGTCCTGGCTGACTAACTGGGCTTCTCTAATACCACCTTGGCTAGGTTGCTGGGGCATCTCCTTTCAGCTTTGTGAGGGTAGAAGTCTACAACCTCCACTCAGTGTGGGTAGGGGTGAGGTCATGGTTTCATTTTTTCTGGTGTCTGACCGGAGTAGAGCAGTTATTATCTAAAAGTTCTCTGTCTTGCTAGGCTGTCCCTTTCCTGGTTGTTTAGCTAGAGAGAGCAGGCTTTTTTTTTTTTAAATCTGTTTTCACTGGTGTTTTCCACATTTCTGGCTTCTTCAGCTCCAAGTCAGGGATATATGAAGCAAAAAGAAAAGTCGAAGGAATTCACTTGAGGAACTGTGTTGTTCCTCAAGTCCCAATGTCCCTAGACTGTCTGCTTTCTTCTCTACACCTTTCAAAATCTCTCGTATTTATTTTACATATAATCCTCAGGTTTTGTAGTTGTAGCTAGCAGGAATAGGAAAAAGTATGTCAACTCCATCTTTCTGGAAGCAGCAATTCTGTTTTTAATATGTTTTGATTTCCAGTGAAAAGGATATAAATGTACCTCTAAGTACTACTTCAGCTATATCCCACAAGTTTTGATATTTTGTGTTTTACTGTTGATCAATTTTAAATGTTTTGCAATTTCCATTATGATTTTTTTCTTTGTTCCATGGATTGTTTAGAAGTTGTGTTTTTAAATTTCCAAATGGATTTTTTTTTGAGGGGGGGAGCTATCTTTTTGTTATTGATTTCTAATTTTGTTGCACTGCTGCATTTTTGTCAGAAAACCTGGTCTGTATGATACTGAGTCTCTGATACTGACTTGCTTCAGGCCTAGAATGTGGCCAATTTTTATTATATAAACGCTCCTTGTGTGTTTTAAGAGAATCTATATTCCTTAATGATTGGCACAAGCCTATGATTACTAATTCTCAGGGAAAACTTTGTCCCCCTACCCAGTATCTAGGCAGAGATGATGTTGAGCAGATTTTTTCCCAGTCCATTCTTTTTTAGTCTTATGTTGTGGTGGGGGGTGGTCTCAGTCTCAACTCCCCCTCTAGCTGAAAGACTTATTTTCCGTCCCTGGAAGAGCATCAAAATCCAAGCTCCTAGGTTTTGGAGTATTCATAAACCCACCACCATCATTAACCACACACATACAAGTTCCAGGTTTCAGTTCTTGTTTTGTTTCCGGAACCAAAGAATTGTCCTCCCCTACTCATGAGCCCAGTTACACATTTAAAAGAATGTTCCAGTTCTGTCTTTCCCATCCAACATGCTAGGTAAGGAGGCAATCATGACACTCCTTTTATTTTGGATGACAGAGACGCATGGAGCAAAGACTCAGAAGGAAGAAGTGGTCAGAGTGTGGGTCAGATGGAAGCCTCCAGAGGCAACTGATTCCCAAATGGGCTAGAGCTAGGAATAACTGCTCTGAATAACTGTTCTGAAGCAGTGTTTCCCAGGAGTCACTTGAGATATTTGTTCCAAGGTGCAGCTTCTTACACTCCTCTCCTGATAATTCTGAATTCAATGGTCTGGGGTGGAACCCTGAAGACTATTTTCACCCAACACTCCAGGTGACTCATATGGGAAAAAAAAAATATATGAGAAGCATTGCTTTATAATACTGTATAGATTCCCAGGTCCCATCTCTCTGGGTATGGGATCTTAGAATCTGTGGTTTTTGGCAGGCATCCCATGAGATATGTCACTAAAAAATAAAAAATCAAGAGTACAGATAAAAAAAAAAAAAAAAAGCTTTATACTAGTATATAGGTGCAGGAACAACAGATGTCAAGGATAATACTGTATAGCTGGAGACCATGGAAGTGTCGATATAGAATCCATCCACCTAGTCATTCACTCAACAAGCACTTTTTGAGCCCGTTATGTCCCAGGTATTATGTTGTTGTTAGCTGCTGTGGAGGTGGCCCCCGACTCATGGTGATCCCTGCACAATGGAAAAAAAAAAATGCTGCCTGGTCCTGTGCCATGCCTATGATTAGTTGTAGATCAGACCACTGTATCTGTAGGGTTTTCACCAGCTAATTTTTGGAGTTGATCTCCAGGTTTTTCTCCCTAGTCTGCCTTAGTCTGGAAGTTCCCCTGAAACCTGTTCAGTATCATAGCAACACATATGCCTCCACTGACAGACAGGTAATGGTTGCATATGAGATGCACTGGCTGGTAATCAAACCCAGGTCTCCTGCATGGGAGGCAAGAATTCCACCACTGAACCACCACTGCCCCTAGGCATTATGTTAGGCACTGGAAATTCTGAAATAAATAAATTAGGCCCTGATTTCACGAAGCTCCTCCTCTAGCAAGGGAGGCAGCCAAATTAATAACTGCTCTACAGTATGTTGAGTACACAGAAATGCAGATAGGTAGGGTTGCCAGATAAAATACAGGATGCCCAGTTAAATTTGAATTTCAGATAAACAAGGAATTTTTTTAGTTTAAGTAAGTCCTAAATATTGCTTTTTTGGGGGAGGGAAGCTAAAGCCAGCAACTGTAAGTACAGTGAGTTTGGGAATACAAAGGAAGAGCTCACAACTCAGCTTGAGGGGATATGAGCTGCAAAACTTAGTCACACGTCTAAGGACTTTGATACAAACTGATTAAAATCAGCAGGGCACAGTGACTGATGCCAGAAACAGGTAGGATGCAAAGTACACTGGGTTACTCCTAGATCAAGAGGGCAAAGTATGCTCAACTGTCCCAAATACAGCTACTAATAACCTCAGGATCTCCTTATAATATACTCATGTAATTAATATTCTTTGAACCACAAGGACTTACAGAACACAGGTTTGTGGGCGAGGTCATCTAAAGCGATTCCTCCTTCAGGATTGAACTCAAAACTGACAGTGAAGTTGTATTTTGCAGTTCCTTCTGAAGACACAGTGATTTTTGCAGAGTCTCCCAGAACCACTTGATTGAACTCTGCACGAATAAAGGTAACCGGAGTATCTCCCTTAAAACCTTTCTGTTGACAGAAATATACCACTTTAGTTATACTCAAATACAGAATTGTCTTAAGCACCAGGCAACGCATTTTGACCTGGGCTAAATAGCATTTTCCATGTTCGGTAGCAAGCGACATCACAAATACAAAAAGGGCAAGTAGAAAGTAATTCAACGACTCTAGTTGTAGCTATATGCACCACTACACTTAAATGCCATATGCTGGATTTTTGGAAAATAACATTTATTGTATCTTACCTGATTATAAAAGTACATTGTGGAACATTGAAAAATTGAGAAAAGCACATAGAAAAGAAATCACCTCTAATCTCATTCTAATATGTAAGCACTATTGAAACTTTAGATATATTTTCTGGCGTTTTGCTGTGACTATATATATACATACACACATGCACATTTATACATACATTTTATATATATATATGTTTTTAAACAAAGTGGGGATCATGCACTGCATACTGTTTTGGAATGCGTTTTTTCACTTCATAATACTGAATCTTTTGCCATTGCATTATTTTTCTAAAATGTTATTTTTACTACATCTTACTATAGTTTTATTATTTAAATTTTATCAAGTGTAATTAAACACAAGGAAACTCTAGAAGAAGAGTTCAGCTCCTTCTTAGGAGAGGAAAAAAGAGAAATTATACATGAACTTTTATATACATAAACCACTCTCTAGGGAAACTAAAACCATGACTTGTTTCACCCCTGTTAAATTTGGTATTCCAACTGCTAGGTATTTTACTATTAGCAAGAAACACACACAGTAATGTAGCTTTCTGATTACAGACTAACAATAAGAAAAGCTGAGGAGGAAATGCCATTGCTATATAAAGCTAGGTCTGGAGTTAGAGGAAGATGCAAAACTCCATTCCTCCCACTGGTGCTCCCAACTGGTCTTTCTCTACCCGCTAGTGGGTGTGTTTGATGGGGTGATCTGAGCTCTCAGGCAAACCTACTTTAAAGAAGAATGAATAAACTAGGGACTTTGTAGACTTCCAAAAATACTTTACCAAGTCGTATCCATCTGTCACAGTGATCTGCACGGGTCTGCCGGTTGATGACGTCTGCTCCATAACAGTAACTAGGCAAAGGCCCCTTTGGTCTTCTTTGGGCTCTGCAAACAGATAAATGAACCTGTTCCTTCATGCACCATATCTGCACAGTACCCACAACGTATCATAACCAATACCAAGGAGAACCTAGCAAACGCCATAGATCCAGCATAGTTCTGTTCCCCCTCCCCAACCTTTGCTCATGGATAGGCAGTGCTTTAGGGAGCTGGTCACAAGGATGATTCCACTGGTTAGTGCTGAAAAGATCCTTGCACATATAACTAACTCACTAAGCACAAATCATCACAAAAGCAAGTAGGAATGCTATCCCCCAACTTCTCATCTCCCACTTCCTTCACGGTGTTCTTTGGTAGTCTTTTTTTTAATCCCCAAAGTTCTCTTCAAAGGTTATTAAATCTCTCAGTTTTACAAAAACGTTATCTTTAGAGTGGGAAATAAGTAGCCACACATAAGGTTTAGTCAATTCGACAAGGTCCTGGCATGTGTCTTGTTTAGTCAGAGATCTTCTCTAATTATTTTAACACACGAAGGATACAAACAATTTCAAAAACAAATTAATCTTTTTTTTTTTGGTCATGCTTTCTGACTCAATCCAAGTGGAACTTAGCAACTCAATTCAAACATTTATTCAGGACATACTAAGCTAAGCATGTCCAAGACTGGTGGTATAAAAAAGAATAAGACACCTTGCTGCCCTCAGAGTTTATAGTTACTCCGCCTCCTTTCAGCTACTTCCCCACTTTCCCAGTCACCTAAAAGGCTTAGCTCAATTATTTGACTCCAATCCACCTACTTCAGTAAGAATCATTCATTGAACAAACATTTATTAAGCTAGGCACTGTGATAGGCAATGGGAATACAAGAGATAAGACATAAACTCCCTAAGCTCAAGGGGTTTACAACCTAGTGAGAAGACAGCTAATGTAACGAGACTATGAGTAATCTGTGTGACAAGTGCTCTGACAGAGGAAAGTGGGGCAGCACACAGGAGGGAAAGAGGAGGAGGGAATTAACTTTTGTTCATAGGAGAAAATACTGAAGCTGTCAAGGATTTCACTTAACTTGAATCCACAATCAACGCCCATGGAAGCAGCAGACAAGATATCAAATGACATACTGCATTAGGCAAATCTGCTGCAAATGACCTCTTTAAAGTGTTAAAATAAAAAACAAAGATGTCACTTTGAGGACTAAGGTGCGCCTGACCCAAGCCATGGTATTTTCAATCATCTCATATGCATGCGGAAGTTGGACAATGAATAAAGAAGACCAAAGAAAAATCAATGCCTTATTTACAGTGTTGGTGAAGAATACTGAATATGCCAGGGACTGCCAGAAGAACGAACAAATCCATCTCGAACGAAGTACAGCCAGAATGCTCCTTTGAAGCGAGGACGGCGAGATTTTGTCTCACTTACTTTGGACATGTTATCAGGAAGGACAATCCCTGGAAAAGGACATCTTACTTGGTAGACAGTCAGTGAAAAAGAAGACGACCCTAAAGAGATGGATTGTCACCGTGGCTACAACAGTGGGCTCAAACATAGCAATGATCACAAGGATGGCGCAGGACCGGGCAGGGTTTCATTCTGTTATACACAGGGTCACTGTGAGTCAGAACTGACTCAACTGCATCTAACAACAACATAGTTACTATGTGCCAGTCAGTGTGCCAAGGACTTTACATACGTTATCAAATATGTATCCACCCTTCCAGGTGACTCTTAAACCTCCATTTTAGTGAAAAGGAAACTGAGTTTCAAAGAAGTTTGATATCTTGCCAGTGGTCATACAGCAAGGAAGTGCTGAAGCTGAGGTCCTAACCTAGCTGCATTTGACAGTGCATGTGTGGGTGTGCCTGCCAGGGAAATCTGCTTATAGAAGGTGGCCTGGAACCATCTTTTACGAAGTGAAGAAGGGGGAAAGATGTTCCAGGCATAGGGAACATACTGTAAAATGTTCAGCAGTAAAAAAAGAAAAAAAAAAATGATTACAAGTAGATCAGATCAGTATGCTTTGGAGTGTACTGTGAGGAGAAATAAGGATAAAATAAGATTGAAGACACAAGTAGATAAATACTATATTAAAGTACAGATGTGATAATATCACTAACTTATCCCCTCTCACCTACAAATAAAGTTAACATCATATTCAAGGTCCTCTAGGATCTAGCTGTGCCAATCAACCTCTCCCCTTACCTGGCCTATGTTCTGGCTTCTCTATTTTTCAAAGATGACCTGCGCTTAAGTCACTTCTGTGCTTTTGCATTTTTCCTTCCTCCTTCCTGGAATTATCCTTCCCTCCTTCCCCTGTACCTCTCTATCTGCACAAATCCTACTCATCCTTTACAATCCAGCTGAAATGTTTCCCAGTCCATGAAGCCTTCTCTGCCTATTCAGTTAGAAGCATTTGCTCTTCCTTTGAATTCTTTTAGCATTTTATACTTCTCTTGTGGCACTGACTACATGCTGTCTTGTTTATGAGGCCTGGCTAGGGATTCAAAAGACCTTGTTTCCTTTCCTACTTACTATGTGACCCCCAAACAAATGCCTAACTTCTCTGAGCCTCAGTTTCACCTTCTGTTAAATGGGTAATATAACTTTTTTTTTTTTTGTACTTTAGATGAAGGCTTACAGAATAAACTAGCTTCTCATTAAACAGTACACATATTGTTTTGTGACACTGGTTAAAAACCCCACGCCATGTCAGCACTCTCCCTTCTCGACCTTGGGTTCCCTATTACCCACTGTGCCCCCTCCTGCCTTCTAGTCCTTGTCCCTGGGCTGGTGTGCCCCTTTAGTCTTGTTCTGTTTTATGGGCCTGTCTAATCTTTGGCTGAAGGGTGAACCTCAGGAGTGACTTCATTATTGAGCTAACAGGGTGTCAGCACGTCATACTCCAGGGGAAAATGAGTAATAAAACTTCCCACCTGCCTATTTCGGATTTGTTGCGAATAGTCCCTAAAATAGTAAAACTGCTTAGGCTATAAGGCACCACACAAATGGTATTATTAATATGCAATCATTTTACTAAGTGCTCAGCTAGAAAAACTGAAGATAGCAGGCCTGTCTTAATTATCTTTACTGCCCCTGGGTGCCTGGTACCATTGCTTGTATGCAAGAGGGATCGCAGCGTATTTGTAGAATGAATGCACGAAACTGGGCTAGTTACAAGTTATGGTCAGGGCAGTCAGCTAGTCAACAAGGCATGCACCTCCTGTCAAATGCTCAGAAGAGTAAGTCAAATTAGAAACAGGTTAGACGAAAAAGGTGATGTAACCGAGTCTGATCTGGAAACCCGGGCGTAGTACAGAGAGGAAAAGTGGCTTTATGCCCGCCTCCGGGTGGGAGGGCTGGGGCTGGCGGGCGTGTCTGCGCCCAGCGGGGCCGGCGGCGTTTAGGTGTGTACCGGAGCGGAGCCGGGTAGGAGCGATGTCTGAGTTTCAGCCTGGCCTTATCTGAAGGAGAAGACTGGGGTAAGGAGAGTGTGGCAGCAGGGCCGGGGTAAGGAAATAAGGAAGAGCGGGTTTTCGGAACGGTAGCAGTCTTACCTGAACCTGAGGAAGACGCAAATGCGTTTTTCGCTACTATAGCAACCAATTACATCTCGCGAGACCTTGTTTTCTGCAAGCGCCACAGAGAGTCGCGATAACTTTTTTTTCTAGGCGTGACTCTCAAAGTGGGTCGTGGTTGAGTTTCTGCGACTGCGCTTCGGCACTGCGCATGCGAACTGCCTTGGGGCGCTCCTGCGTTGGGAGAGGTTCCTCTACTTTGACCATGCCTTTTGGTTAAATGCGAAGTTCAAACTTTTGATTCTACTTTTTTAAAAATAAGTTAGGTAACCTCTCAGAGACTCTGTTTTCCTCATTTGTAAGATGGGCATGAGATCAGGCCCTACTTTATACAAAATTGTGACTATAAATGAGTTTGCTTTTATAAAGCACCTGGCATTGTGCCAGGCACATAGCACCATTCAATAATCAGCTATTATTAGTACTATTATTATTACTACCATTATTAAGTAGAAGGAGTATAGGCTTTGGAGAAAAACACGAGTTTAAATTTCAGCTCTAGCCGCATGACCTTGGGGAAGTTAATTTCTCAGTTTTTCCATGAGGATAACAAAACTATGTGTGAAGTCCTTGCCAGTTTTAACTTTTTTCTTTTATTGTACTTTAGATGAACGTTTACAGAGAGAATTAGTTTCTCATTAAACAATTAATACACTTTTGTGACATTGGTTGCCAACCCCACAACATGTCAACACTCCCCCTTCTTCACCTTGGCTTCCCCAAGTTACTAGCTTTCTTATCTCCTCTTGCCGTCTCGTCCTTGCCCCTGAGCTGTTGTGCCCATTTAGTGTCGTTTTGTTTTATGGGTCTGTCTAATCTTTGGCTGAAGGGTGAACCTCAGGAGTGACATCAGTACTGAGTTAAAAGGGGTCCAGGGGCCATACACTCAGGGTTTCTTTAGTCTTTGTCAGACCAGTAAGTCTGCTCTTCTTTTGTGAGTTAGAATGTTGTTCTACATTTATCTCCAGCTCTGTCTGGGACCCTCTATTGTGATCTCTGTCAGAGCAGTTGGTGTTGGTACCCAGGTACTATCTAGTTGTGCCAGACTCAATCTGGTGGAGGCTGTGGTAGTTGTGGTCCATTAATCCTTTGGACTAATCTTTCCCTTGTGTCTTTAGTTTTCTTCATTCTCCCTGGCTCCAGATGGGGTGGGACCAGTAGAGGATCTTAGATGGCAGCTCATAAGCTTTTAAAACTCCAGACGCTACACACTAAAGTAGGACATTCCGATTTTTTCTTGACAACTCTTTTCTCCCAATATTCCTCCACGATACAATAAAGACCAAAAGGAAATGTATTTAAAGAAAAAAATGCAAGTCTTTATTTAAAAACAGCTCATTTAAATCTCTCTCTTTAAAAAAGGCAGAGAGATAACACTACGAAAGTGAGACTAACACACTGCTGCTGACAGTGCAAAATGGTGTGATTTCTCACGTCACTTACACAGTCGAATGCTGACGCCATGTGTTAGAGCAGAACTGTGCTCCACAGGGTTTTCACTGGCTAACTTTTTGGAACTAGATCTCTGGGCCTTTCTTCTGAGGTACCTCTGGGTGGACTAGAACAGCCAACCTTTTGGTTAGCAGCCAAACAGTAACTGTTTGCATCACTCAGGGACTCTTTGATTAGTCATTAGGGAAATGCAAATCAAAACCACAATGAGATACCACCTCACACCCACTAGGATGGCTATAATAAAAAAGACAGACAGTAATAAGTGCTAGTGAGGATGAGGAGAAACTGGAACCCTCATCCATTGCTGGTGGGACTGTAAAATGGTGCAACCATTTTGGAAGACAGTTTGGTTGTTCCTCAGAAAGTTAAACAGAGTTACCCAAAGTCTATATCCAAAAGAATTGAAAACGTATGATCACACAAAACTTGTACACAAATATTCACAGCAGCATTATTCATAATAGCCAAAAAGTGGAAACAACCCAAATGTCCATCAACAGATGAATGGTTAAACAAAATGTGCTATATATACAATGGAGTATTGTTCAGCCATAAGAAGGAATAAAGCACTGATACATGCTACAAGATAGATGAACCTTGAAAACATGCTAATTGAAAGAAGTCAAACCCAAAGAGCCATATATATGATTCCATTTATATGTAAAGGCAAATTCATAGAGGCAGAAAGTAGATTAATGGTGGCCAGGAAGTAAATTAATGGTTGCCAGGAATTAAAGGGAAGAGGGAATGGGGAGTGACAGCTAATGCTTATGGGGTTTCTTGTTGGGGTGATGAAAATGTTCTGAAAATGACTGTGGTGATAGTTGCACAACTTTGTGACTATACTAAAAGCCACTAAATTTTACACTTTAAAAAAAGTTTATGGTATGTTAACTATATCTCAATGTTCTAAAAAGTTAAAAAATGTATCGCTCGTATCTTTCCTTTTGCCTTAATACCCTACCCCCTCCTCATTTTTACTAAATCACATCACTTTCATTTACTTTTTCAAACCCAGATCAAAATTTAACTTTTCTGATGAAACTTTTAAAAAATACATCTGTCTTAGCCTGTTATCCTTCTCCCCATGTACCTTGTGCTACACTTGTATATACTGTATCTCCCTAAGGGCAGGATTGTGTCTTACACTACTTTGCATATCCCTTAATACTTACACAAAACAAATTTGGTCTGTTGAGTTATAATTGATAGCGCTCGGCTGCTAACCAAAAGGTCGGCAGTTAAAATCCACGAGCCGCTCTGTGGCAGAAAAATGTGGCAGTCTGTTTCTGTAAAGATTTCAGCCTTGGAAACCCTATGGGGCAGTTCTACTCTGTCCTATAGGGTCTATGAGCTGGAATCAATTCAATGGCACTGGGTTATTCTTCCCCTCAATTTTTAGTAGAATCATTCACCAAATCTTATTAAGTACTTGGTTTATGCCAGGGGGCTCTGTGTAAAACAAAACAGAGTTCAAGCATAATTTACAATCTAACATTTGCAATTTCTTTGCATCCTAATTTTTATTTGGAATCCCCACTAGATTATAAACCTCCTTCCTCTGCATTTTCCCTTACTGCCTAGTATAATGTGTCACATAATAAATAATTGCTCAGTTCTGGGGATAAACCAATGGGTTTTGAAGTCACCCTGCTGTATCACTCACTGAGCTCCTGGACAGTTTCTCCAAAGAGCTACCACTGAATTCTCCAAGAAAATGCCTGAAGCCTCATTCACTCACTAACGGAGCACCTATTATGTCCTTCACTTTTGGGCTCATAATTAAATTGTGACTAATTGTGAAATCTTTCATAAATTTTTTTTTAAAAATCAAGGACTAATAAATAAAGACTGTTAGGGAGTTTTAGTAGACATAAAAGTAGTCTGTATATGTTTGCCTATAAACATTTAATCCCTTTTTAAAGTTGCTACAGGTAACACTAATCTATTTTCTATGTGGAAAGTTAAGTGTTTATGAATACAGAATACCAATTTATACAAAATAAGATACAAATTACTCTACTAGTCAAAAGAGCTGAATTTTTAGGATACAGTTTTGACATACTACCAACTATAACTCCAATGGACCTAGTAAGACTACGAAAGGCAGAGTTCTTGGCAACCTTTTTTTAATTTAGTATTATCACACAGAATCAGAGATTGTTGCGATTTTTATTCAATTTGACATCCTGATTAGAATAAGAGCAGTAAGAATTATGCTTTACCAACAATGCATTATTACTGCATCATTGTGATATGGCTTTACACTGATTGTATATAGAGAAAAACTAACATCAGAATTAAGGCAATAACAACGTGTGCAAACCAAGCACATTACCCGGACACAGTCTTTAGTAAAAGCTTTTGGTTAGGGAACAGATGATACGGCTACGTGCAGGCCAGTCACCGCTTTGAAGGATAAGCTCAGGATAGAAAATCGACTCGTAAAAAAACCCCTCCTACTGGCCTACGATGGCCAGAAGCAGCTTTCGGTAATCTCCACTGGTGTCATTTGCAATCATTGTGCCCAGGGTCTTCTGATACATCTGACTGAACATCTGTTTTATCTGTACAAGGTCAATCTGCACAAGAGATGAGATTTCTGATGTTAGAAAAAAGCTGCCACAAACAAAGCTGATATTTATTACACTTTTTCTTTAACAGTGAAAGGATCCTAATTATAATTAGAGCAGAGGAAAAACAAACTTACAGGTAGCATTCATACCAGTGCTAACATCCCCCAATGGAGGTCTGATTCACTGCTCTGTAAAAATACTGGCTAAAGATGGTACGAGTTTCGCTTATTATTCAAAAAATAATAGTCACTTAAAAAAATTTGAGACTATTTTTAGGTAAAGAGATAATAGGTAAATTCCTTTTAATTGTTTTATAATTAACAATTATAAATTTTAAGATGACTTTGATATCCAATAGGATTAATATGCCTAGGTCCTTCACACAGCTTTTTTATTTATTTATTTATTTATTTTTTATTGTACTTGAGGTGAAGGCTTACAGAACAAATAGTTTCTCATGAAACAGTAGTACACATACTGTTTTATGACATTGGTTTACAACCCCACAACATGTCAACCCTCTAACTTCTCAACCTTTTTTTTGGTGAAAATACACATAGCCAAAGATATACCATTTCAAAAATGTCTACACACACAGTTCAGTGACACTGACTACGCTCTTCCAATTGTGCTGTTATTCTCACTTAAGATGAAGGCTTACAGAACAAAATAGTTTCTCATTTAACAGTTACTACA